TAAATGTCATTCTACTATAATGCAACTGTCTATAAGTATCTGTTCATAAAACCATTCCATTCATGTTTTCATGTTGCCAATGTTATTAATCATCATTCTGTTTATGGAATAATAATACATATAATTTCCAAAGTTAGATAGAAAGCTTGGGTCTCTTAGGATGAGAAGAGACTAGGTCTCAATGTGTAGTTCCCTACAGCAGCAGCATCACCTATGGACCTAAGAGAAAAGCAAATTCTCAAGTTCAGAGTTTAGTTTGCAAATTCTTCAGAGGATTCTGAGGCACAAGGTAGCTTAATATAAACTATGAAAGCTTCAAGGTTAAGAACTTTGCTTCCTATACTTATGTCTTCCTTGCATTTTCTGGATAATGCCAACTACCTGAAAACTGGATATGCATCACTGTGGCCCTCTTACTCCTACCATTTCACAACTGAGGTGCTGTTTTTCTTTGCCCTTTTCCCTTAATGGACTGGTTTTTTTTTTTCTTTTTCCTGCTATGAAACTATAAGTAACCATAAGAATCTCCCACACAACTCTCTTCCTTTCTCAAAGAGGAAATTTGAGAGCTGGTTCAATGGCCAGCTCATGTGCCCTGGCTTTATTAGCACAGTGACTGCACATGGACTCTACTGGATCCAAGGCCAGGGCTGCTTCTGGGTAGCTCTGCTGAACATTACAAAATAAGGTGTATCCTTTAAACCCAAGATGAAAACTAAGTCATGGGGGGCTGATAAATAAACTGAGATGAGGCAGTAAATGAAAGAATGTTTTCTGCCTGTACTCAAGGACCCCAACAAGTTCAATATTCTTTTAAACCTAAGAAACTTGTTTTTTTCTCAGCATTAGCAAAAAGATGCAATTAAAAAGGAAAAACATGGGGTTTAGTCATTCTTACTAAACGTGGATAGGACTTAGACAAATTTGGCAGCCCAAGTAAGATATCTTTGATGTCTTTAGAAACATTGATATCTGTATTGTATTCTTGGATACATTTCAATTTTACATCAATTGTCTATTTTACTTGATGGTGCTAGGTATGATCTATGATATAGATGAGCTGTGTAGAACTGAACTATATTATAATAGAGTTCCAATCTCTTCGGAAATGTTTTCAAATGATCTGCAGTACTGGCCTGTTGGATCAAGTGATGATCATTCTGTTAGTAACAAAAGAGTTCTGACTACTGCATTTGAGTAGTCGCAGGAGCCCCGGGACAGCACTTAGAGATTATTAGCCATGCAATCTGAAATCATTCTCTGTGAAGAGAATTAGTGTGAAGTTGCTTCAGTGGTTGCTGGCTGTACCTCTTTCATCACATAAATTTAACTTCCTCCCCAAAGTTAAAGCCTAGCAAAGCTGTGTTTATGAAAGGTCCCCCAACGATTTGCCATCTGTCAAGAGTGAGACATTCTGTCACCTTTATAACGAGCACTAGCGGGCACCTAACACTTAAATTCTCACACCTTCTGTGACAGAACACTCTGAAAGGAGGAACAGACCCTCAGTTGCAAGTTCTTCCTTAAAGGTGCGTCCATTATGGCGTTAGAAACTAAAGGGAAAGATTGACAGTGGCCTCCTGGGGATTCTAAATCAATATCTCACCTTTGGTATTTCCTGTCCCATTGTAGATCTCTCCATCAGTTTTCAGAAACTCCTACACTGTCAAGAGGGACCAGTTTCAATTCTTGCCATTCTACTGCAAATATACCACAAAGGTATGTGATTTCCTGGCCCTTTTCATTCAGAGAAGTGATTCTGCGCAACAACAGATTTTATGAAGTTATAAATAAGCACTTGAGAAATATTTGTTAGGTTAATGGATGTGAAAATGAATAAAAGATAAGTGTCAGTGAAATTGGGAGCAGTCTAAAAATCTGTTAATGGGGAAATAGTCAAATGAACAACTATCTCATTAGTTGTACGAAGTTACATACAGCGGTAAACAAATAAGTAGAAATCACAAGATATATCTAATTTATGCAGAGCATAGCTCTACCTATTAGAAAGATCTTCAAGTTATATTTTAAAGAGAAAAAATAAAGATGAAGAAAGATACAGTTTTACTATTTATAAAGCAAAAAAGGGTAATCTACAAAGCATGCATGTAGCTATATAGTAATATGTCCAGAAGTATGAACATATTTAGCAATAAAGGGATCAAGATTAGTAAGAGTAATTCGAAGAGAGGAGAGACATTTATTTGTAATATTATACATTTTTAAAAATAAAGTGAGAATAATTTATGTATTTATTACACTATGAAATGTGTATTTAAAAGTTAATATTTTAACTATTGTATGAAAGCATTTTAATGACAAATCAATCAATAATTATATTATTGGCCATGAGACTATACCATTTAGAAGGGAAGGATTATCTTTTTTTCATTTTTGTTACATGGGTACTTTCATGGAGCCTGGAACATGGCAGATGTTCAATAAATATTTGTATAGTTGGATTGAATAAAAAGTTGCATAATGAAGTTGACAAGAAGTTAAATCTTTCATGTCCAACTTATATTTCTCACCAGATACCATTTTTTCCCTTAAACTTCTTCTCTACTAAGGTGTTTATGTTAACATAATGGAGAAAGTGGCACCTCCAGCTCTCCAGTGAGTTCTGATGGTTAAAATGATGCCCTTCCCCAAGGGTTTTTGGCCTCTTTCCTTCCTTGACTGAATCAGGAGTCAAAGCACCAGATCTTCATGACACATTAGAAGGTGAAAGTGATGGTTTGGTGGTGATGAATGGGCCTGCCCATGAGATGATAGCTATGACAATAAAATTATCTAAACTACCTCAAATAAATTTGTTAGTGCTAAGTGTAAAGTAACAGCAAGCAGTAACTCCAAGGCGAAAAAAGAAACCCTGGTTAAACCTTATCAAAAGTTCTGAAGGCCAAGAGAGGCCACAGTTTTTGTAACTTCTGGCTCAGAAGTTCAGTAATTGGGAAGAGGATTATATGCATAAATAGTTTCCACCTAACTGATGTTTACCATTTTCAGTGCCAAAGTGGACTAGGACATTTTGACAAAAACATTTTTTGTTTCTCAGCCAACTTCAAAAACAACAAACAGAATATATTTTAATCCTACCTAGGGACTCAAAATCATTATTTGTTAACATCAGTCCTTGTAGTCTGCATTTAGTAATATCTTTGATGGATTTGTTCAGCTGAGGAGTCACCCAGACTGAAGCAGTGTTCTTCTGTGAGTCTCCTGCGAGCATTCTTTTTCTGCTTTCTCTCTTGCCATCAATTACCACTTCTTGGTGTTGTCATTGTTCGCTCTCTGGCTTCTGTTCCGCAATCTCCCTGCCCTATCTAATTTAACATGGGCCCACGAGGGGAATGAAAAGCCAGATGGATAAACTCACTGCATTATATGTAAAGTACAGGCAGGCAGTCCCTGAGTGGGGTGACTGACAGTCCTGTAAGTAAGTATATATGATCTGTTATGAATATACCATCTGTCTGTTCAGGTTCCTCTCTCACTCATTTTCTGGAAGACTGGGTGACTAGGAATAAATGGCTTATGTTTAAGTGAGCTGTTATTAGATGAAAATATTCATATTTTTATTGCAGCATTCCTGAATGGCTGCAATTTTGGGAGAAAGATCCTGTGGAGATTCTCTTGGATCTAGGGTTTGGTGCTGATGAGCCAGACATCTGCTCACAAATCCCGGACCGATTCCTTCACTGTGGCTCATCAGTCAGAGGGATTGACATCCGTGTTTTCCTTGAAGCTCAGAAGCAGCGGATGCACCTCGAGAACCCTGACTTGTATGGTAAGTGTGGAATGTAAACAAGTATCTCAGCAATGGCAATGGTAGGCCACAGAGTGAGGCAGGATGGACTAGTAGACTGTGTGCAATTGCAGCCAACACCTCTCTTGCAGCAGCTCAAAAGAGAAAGCATTTATTTCTCAATCACATATCTGCTGTGGATTGGCTTGTATCTTTGGGAGAAGGACTGATCTGTGCCTATTGTCCTCACTCAAGGACTTGCCCCCCACCGCCAATCTGGAACATCACTATTATGAATGACAGGGAGAGTAGAAAGGGAGAACTGTACTCAACTCAAATCATTCAACTCATAACTTACACCTATCAGGTCTGTTCGAGTTTCATTGGCCAACAAGCCAAATGGCCACATAACCCAGGTGTTGAGAGTGTGGGAACCAGCCATATTCCCAAAAGGAAAAAAGTTGGTGGTACTGGTGAGCATCACTAATATATAATTATAGCCACACACCAAGGAGGCAGGAAAATTGCCATCAGGCAAGGTTTGTCATGAATCACAAGGTAAAATCTTAATTTCTTCATTTGTGAAGCATAGACCACTACAGTTTTACACCTTTACCTTCAACTGGTAATTATTATTCTACTGTAGATTAGGCCTGGTCCTTACAGTTATTATACATACGACTCTATTTACCCAGCAAATGATTGGTGCAATCATTTTTGTAGGACATTACTAAAGTTGTACTTGGGGTATATGTACTGTATATGAATAATTTGGGGGCATATGTCTTGCAGTTAAACAAGTTTGCTTGCTATTAGATTCATTCAGTAAGCTAAGATGTATTTCCAGTCTCCTAGAGAAGATGCAGTGTGGCATTTTCAAGATGATTTAAATGTAGAATCCCTCTTGCAGTGGCAAAGAACATCTTCATGGAATAGAGTCTGGAGGAATTCTGGATGAGAAAATGACAAACTCTTGTTTCCAAAATAAATTATTTTACATAAATAAATTTAGTGAAAGGTAAGTCAAGGGAGATGAAAAGCTTTTCACAAATAATTATATAGAACAAAAATATCACTAGATTTTTCATTTTAGTTCTTTTCATGTGGATAAAATGGGTCTCAAAATCTTAGCAATGATTTTTAAAGAAGAGTACATCAACCTGAAGGTGTTGTGTTTTAAAATTTCTTTACATTCCAGGAACAATTAATTTTGCTCTTTGTTGTCTCCTCAAACAGAACAGAAAAGTAAGTTCTTTGATCAGTTCTTTATTTGGGGAGAATAATAACACTTTCCAATATTTGAATAGTATTCAAGCTGATCTGTGAAGTAAACATTTTACAAATGAAATTGACACATGGATTATAGAGGAACTAGGAATTGGTCCCTGATCCTGTGATTTCCCAGCCTACTGTGATTTCCGCTACTTAACACTCACCAATACACTTTTGATTGAAGAAAATTGAGAAGGTCGAACATAAAACAAGTAATAACAAAATTAGTAGGCTGCTCAAAAGATAAAATGGATAATTATGCATCATTCAGAGTCAAAACAATAAGTTCAAACTTGACAATGAGAATCAATTCGTCCATTCAATCTACCCAAAGGCAAAAATAAAACATCACACCAATCCTTTCAGACTGTTGTGTTCTCTGGATTGATTGAACCAATTAAACTGATAGGCTTTATCTTAATCTAGGTATAAAAAACATCTATGGGATGGGTAGAAGACAATAATAAAAGCTAAATTATGATTGCATCATGCCCATTGGGTCACAAAAGAAATTTTGTTTCAGCTAATGCATGTTGGGGGGTGGGTGTGATCACAATTATTCTGAAATGTCCAAAACCTAAGAGTTCCTATAGGTTAGAAATGAAGAACACAGTCCTGGGTGAGAAAGCAACCACATATTTTGGAGTACAAGGATGATGATTGTCAGTATCTACTCCTTCCAGGGGAAAGAAACAGGTAGGCATAAGGATATGCTCAGAGAAGAGTTTGCAGCTTTGCTGAGATGAGGAACAACAGAGTGGACAGCATCCTTGCCCACTAGTTGCTGTTTCCATGACTTTATCACTTTGTGATATCAAAAATATTGGTCATTATTTTTTAAGCTGGCAAAGGTACCCACCCTAAACCTTGGTGCATTAGGTCTCTCCCCTAGGCTAATTAAGTCAGTACTTGCATAATTTGCAGAAGATTGAGGACAGATCATCCTGAAAGGGTTACAATTTAAACTAGTTTGTTTTGAAGGACAAATGGCTTTCATATTAATGACTACCTTCTCTTGAAAGAATGAGAACAATATTGTATTTTTCCTTCCTGAGTCTTGCACATTTATATCTATTATTTTCACAAATGATATTTATGTATCATTATACTTTTACAACTTTGTCTTGATGCTGACATGAGATATGATATACATAAGACAGTCATGATTCCCTAGGTGAAAAACTGAGCATAGACTCTGTCTAGCACAGAGCTTACTACTCACTGCATACATATTAATTCATATACTCTGGGGTCAAATATTTTGAGGTTAATAGTTGACCTAGGATTTGCATCAAGGCCACATGTCACAATCACCCAAAATCTCGTGATGGAGATGGTAGAGGTGTTTATAAGATATCTACCATCTGCCAAAGTTATGGGAAGAATCTTAAACCACTACATATTGAAAAAGATGGGATCATTCTTTTACATTTAGCTTAATATGCTTAAGTATATAGAGTCACACATGTCTATAGTTTTTAAGAGATTAACACATAAAAACTATGACCATATATGGATCTATATATTTATGCACATTCAAATATATTACTCTCCCCATCACACAGGGGCATCCTCTCAGGAAAATACTGAAGAAATTGAGTTTTAAGAGCTTAAATTCTCCCCTCTTGAAAATCACACACTAGCCAACTGTTCAGTTTTTATTACACCCACATATTGCATTCGTGCAGATTCATTGAAAAGATTTGGTCTAAAACTTATGCATTCCTGTGGTCCTCAGGCCGTTTCCGACAGTTAGAAGTACTGGACCATGTCACTAGTGCCCTCTCGTCTTTGCTGAATAATGTTAACACTCTGCAGAATAAAGCTGAAGAGAAAGCTGGAGGACAGAGAATGAACAGAACCTCAGTGAGTGGGGTCAAAGAGCGTCAAAGAAGACTGAGTAAACTTTTTCAGAGAGCTTGGAGGCAGAGAATTAGGGGGGACTACAGCACAGAAATATCAGAATCGTTCAAGATGAAGGATGGAGTTTTCATCCCTTCTACCAAAGCACAGGACTATGGAGCAGAGTTACCAGCAGCCTCAGTCAGTCACAGCCAAAGTCACCGGTCTCCTTCAGCAGAACGTCATTCTGTCCATTCTGGCTTGAAACCTTGTCGCCCTCCTCAACCTTGGAGCAAGCAGTGGCGTTGTTCATCCACGCTGGCCACACAAGGTTCTCCTTACTGTGAGTCTAACGAGTCAGTCAAAGACAGAACTCGGAAGGAAAACTCAGTTCACACAAGCCAGCTCAAGCACTTGTCTAGACTTGCAAGTAAAGCACCAGACTCCTTTGAAATGGAAGAGGTCAGTGTTGTGCCCGCATGCTCGGTTTCTTAAAGGGAATAACCTGCTCCACAGTGTCCTTGCCTTCCGGGACTTGTTTGTCCACTCTATCTTTGGACACCTCTGCATTATGTGTTGTTTTTCCAAAATCAGCTTAGAGTAAGACATTTAAAGTCATTGTAGTTACTTCACTTAGAAATGACCTAGCGTGCAATCGGCTTTCTCCTACTCATTTTCTTTTTCACGTTCACAATTGATCTGTGAGTCTTTTCTGGCTTTGTTTTTGCGAGGCGTTTCAAAGTGCACCTCCGCAGGCTTTGCTCGGACTCTAACTTTCCATGTTTCAGCTTCTTTAAAGGTCGGGTCAGCCTCTTCACACTCCATGAAACTTGCCTGGGTAATTCTTCCTCTGCGTCCTCAGAGCCTTGGCAGGGAAGGCATTCGGTGTTAGAGCTGTGTCTGCAGTAATGGCCACTTCCTCACCCAACGCTCAGCAGCCTCAGGACCAGGGAGTGTCCCTTCGAAATATTTAACCCACAATGCCTTGGAGAGAACCATGGGAACTTGGGATTAATTTTTAGTTTTAGGGACTTAGTATTTTATTTGCTTCATGCATGTTTAAACGTATACAGCTTGACCCCATTTCACTCACACCCTCAACTCTTTCATCCCCACCTTGACTCACGATAATCTTTACTCTCATTTCAATAACATTTCCACCTGTACTGCTCAGTCTCTACCTATATCTATATCTATATCTATATCTATATCTATAATTTCTATTCCACTAATATGTATAGTTCCACTAATTTCTCTATTTTTAATATCTATATATATCTATTTCTATTCCACTAATATGTATAGTTCCACTAATTTCTCTATTTTTAAAGGCAACTAAGATCTGGAGTTAGCTCATTGACAACTCTATGTAACCACGTTACAAAAGCATAATTGCAAAACACGAGTAAATCCTCACATCCCCTCCCCTTTTACCTAAATTATGTAAGAGCACGGCAAGTACCAATTTGTAGTCCCTTCTCCATTGAGAGCGCCCTCTGCCAGGCACAAAGTGAGCAGCACAGGATTGGTAACAGAATCTGCCTTGAAGCGGGCAGCAGAGAAGTGACAGGGAAGAGCACAGAAGCAGTAAGGTGGGCAGGGCAGTGGTGGGTGTAAGAGATACTCTTAAGTCACTCTGCAGACATGTCATTGGGTATTCAGGCAGCATTTAAAGGGATTCTTAGCCAGATAGGGGGCTGAGAGGATCAAAAAGTTAACGGGAAGCAAGACCTGACCATAATCTTAAAAGAAGAGTAAGATTTAGCCAGGTAAATATATCTACTGGTAGCCTTCCCTGCCAACAAAGATATAAAAATTTCCTTAGGTGTTAATGATCATGTATACATATCTCTTATATAAAGAAATTGTATAACCTGAAAACACAAGATTGAATGTAAAATAGTAACATAAAATTTTAAAAGGAAGGGAAACAGACTTTTGGTTAAATTCCGTGATTTGGGTACAAATGGAGGCGGTATAAAAATAGACTGTTTTCTTTTACATCAATCTTGCCAGAGTATTTGCTTATCAAATCAATAGTCCATGACTCTTAACGATTGTCAAATCAATATGCAGTTCATTAGTCAGTCTGCTATCTTAGCTGAAATCCAAAAGAGAAATTTCATTAAACTCCCACCCATCCACAAGTCTCACTAGACTACTGTTCTCTAAGTTTTTTTCCACTTTAAGCAAGGCTGACTTAGAGGAAAAATAGTGTCCAGTGTGTCTCAATTATGCAAGAGCACAGGAATCACTAAAGAGTAAATTCCACATGAAGAAATAAAAAAGAATGTCAGGTCTAGTTCAACATAACTTTCAAATATTTTAAATGGCAATGTTCAAGGAAACCCTATTTATTAGGTTATATTTATATTTAAGAGAAGGAATACAGACACAAATTTTTCAAATTATGTATTTGACACAGTACTCAGTGAATATTTGTTGAAATAGTTAAATAACATTAAATGTATGAAAAATATTAATATACTTGAAGATTGGCATTAACAGAAAAACAAATTATTATGTTGAACTTCATAGTTCAGCTTTGTTTTTGGTGTTCCTTTAAAACTTTCTTGGATTTGCACATGTGAGAGATTATATGTAAGGCAAAGACAGCTCTCTAAAAATAATGTATAAGAAACTTAAATTTTTTTGTTAAAAAAGTATACACATATATTACACTCTCAACATGAAGGAAATATCTGTTTCAGTCAGTATCCATGAATGAGTAAATGAAGCTTGGGTAGATTGAATTTAAACAGGAGCCATTGCCAGATTTAATATATATTTTTCAATGGCACATTTTTAAAAATCCAATTATAAGAAATGGAAAATATGTGTGCAATCAACAGATTTTTGTGCCATTTGTATTATGATCTAATCTAGCTAGCAGAATTCTAGCTACGATTGGCCAGATTTTGCCTCCAGATCAATTGCTGATGCTTTCCCTAAAGACTCCATTTGGCAAACTCACATCTAAAAACTGATTCCAACAAAATTGTACATGGATTTACAAGGCCAAAATTACTAGATTTGTGTGTTTAATTTTTTCTTAGTGAAACTGAATCAGCACCTATCTCTTAGAATTCCCAGACATATTAAATTAATTTAATATTTGTGTAATTATAAACTCAAGGGAGGATGTTTCCATGATACATAATCTTCATGCTTACCTTCTATTTGCATAAAAGGATCCTATCCTGTAGAAGTCACAGGTAACAACTTTTGCCATATTATTAAATAATGTCAATAAAATCTTGATTAGATATAGAATATTTCAAAAGTTTGGATTATTTATTTTTTATTAATGAATAAATCTGGCTCAGCTAGAAAGTCCAGGAATACATCTGGCATCCATTTTAAATTGGTGGACTTTTCTCTTATATTTTTATTAGACAAATATGTTCTTAAATTTTAATAACTGGATTTTTCTTCACTATAATGATCACAGGAAAAGAGCTTTCTTAGTTACACCTGAAAATGTACGTGATACACACTGGTTTGAGGTACCAAAACCTGTTAAGTGTGTCTGATTACAAGTGTAAGGTAATGCCTTTGAAGAAAAGAGATGAAGGGTTAAAAAGTGGAAACAAATATGTTATTACATTTCTGAGCTATGAACTCATAGTTCTGTTTATTCCTATGTTAAAGGTTGTTTGGGGCCACATGTGCCAAAATGTTTAGAATGTTTATATTTTTCCATTCAGTGTTCAACATAAATTCCAAATAAATAATCCCAAATGAAACAAACACCAATTTCAAATAAATAACATGACATATAGAAATGGAGTTATGTGCAATGATACTCATCTCAGCATTTTTTAATTGAAAAATTTTGAAAACTCTCCAACAGTGAGAAAATGGTTAAAGAAACTAATGTACCTTTAAAATATGGCCTATTGTTCAATTGTCAAAAAGGATACTTTCAAAAAAGTTTCATGATATGGGAAAAGTCCTTTCCAAATTTTTAAGTCAAAAAACATGGCTACCTAACTATATCCAGAATAAAGAAACATTCTACTATGGTAGCAGTAACTGTTTACTTATTTTTAAAAACTTTTTTATGTGATACATTTCTGTAGTAAGTTGTATTACTATTTTTAAAGTAATAGTTATTATTTTGTTTTAGAAATAGCTTTAGTCTCATTAAGAGTATTGTTCATTAATTTCTAAAAATTCAAAACTAAATTGTACTTTCATCACCTGGGAAACTAAATTTTCTGTGATTTGTCTAAGGACCATTGTAACAACTGTATTTTTCTCCCTAAATTTATCAAACCATAATTAACTTACTTTCGCCAAATATTTTTAATATTCTTTGCAACAAAAAGTCTAGCATAATATGCAAGTCTTCCAGGAAACCATTTATTTTTCCACGTGAAGTGATAGTTCTCTCTCCTAAACCCCTTTAGTTCTTTGATTCTGCATCAGGGATGCCTTTTCCTTGCTACTTCCTCCTGGACAACTATAAACTATTTGAGCTCAAGAACTCACGATTATCCCACTTTTAGTGTCCAGTAAACATTCATTGTATATTGACTCAAGACATGCATTTATTATGAAAATATCTCTAAAGAAATATATGTTGATGTCTTAGATCCAGAGCTTTGAGGAGGAGCCTGGCAACCCTCTTGACATGACTCCAGGAACTGTAGGTAAGAATTCATCAAGGTGTGTGATTTTTATCACTAGCCTTTCAGAAAGTGAATATAAGTCACTAACATTTAAATCTCTTAATATGTACAGAGCTTAAATGAACTCCAGAAGATGATCTAAATTTGTGCCTCACCTGAAATCGCAGAAAACTAGTGATGTGAACATACATGAAAATTCTAACATATCAGAAAAATGTACTATCCCTGACACTGAAACAGCCTGTGACTTGTCTGATGCTAACTCTATATGATCTGTCTATCAGAATGTTTCTGAAATTGCACTGTGACTAACTAGGTGAAAACTTTCCTACTCCTATTGCCAACTGCTTGTTATGGATCAAGTCATATCATTTTATCAAGCTCTCAGCAGAAATAAGATGCCTAGCTCTAACTTTCCAAATCACCTCTCAGAATGATGTTCTGCCATCCTAGACAACAAAGAAGGAGGTGTTTTTTCACTCTTGGTTCTTATTCTCCTATGCAGTTATCATAGTGATTCAGCATTTCCATGATCCTTTAATGGAACTCAAAATAGGCTGAGATTAATCAAGCAAAATAGAGGGAAGCTAGTGCATTTCCTGAAAGAAAATATGCAAATTTTTAATTTAATTTAGCATGGTGTCAAACACATCTTTTCCATTACAAAGTGTATGTATGGGCCTCATTTAGCTAAATGCTGTTTAGAAATTATGCATTAGTAATTATAGGGTCCTGCTGATTACATAAATTGTTACCCTGCTCTTCGAAGTAATTACCACATAACCTGCATTGAAGTTTATAAGACAAAAATAAGCATCTGTTTTCCATTTAATTGAATGCTTTTCAGTGAAGCTGAAGGTCTCTTTGTCAATAGGAACTGTCTTCCTTGACATTGTATTCAGAAGTTTACTGATATCATCTAAACCATTCCAATTATTCAAAAACATTGTTTGGGAAGTTCGGTAAATTGAGAAGGCAAAGCAAGATAAGGTGATGGTTTTCCTAAGAGAGAATATCTGGAAAATAGGACTTTATTACTTTCAAAACTAGTGTTGTTAACCTTGGAAAAAAATAGGACTGAGAACAAATAAGTAGAATTAATAGAATTAATGAGGAAAAGGAGAAAGCATGATACCTATGTAATCTCATTGATATGTGTGTGTTTACTTAAAATTTAAAAGATAATTACATTTGAAAGTTGAAAAGATGAAGGCACATGGAGTTTTTTGACCAACAAAATAGGGCAGAAGTGATGCCATCCTAGTTTTAAGGCATCTCTTGTAACATTGCCCCCACCATCCCATGTGCTTCCTGGCTTGTGGGATATATACTTACCTAGAACACTCCCCCTTGGAACCTAGCCTCACACTGTGAGAAGCCCAGGTTATGTAGGGTGTCACATGCAGGTACTCTGGTAGATAGCCCTAAATGGGGATCCCAAGTGAACTAGCCATCCTTGATGTCCAGTCCACTCAACCTTCTTAATGATCTAATCATTCTGATACCAGAACCAGGTAACAATCACAAAGGTAAGTTTCTGCTTTAAACCAAGCATTACACACTAATAGATTAAGGTACCTGATGGTCACTTCAAATATCTTTACACTTTAGTTAAAAAATCATTTTTTAAGATTGTATTGCTTTCACTCAAGACCCAAGGCTGCAAATATACTATCCTCCCTTAACCTTTGAAAAATTATCACAGAAATGACAAAGTAATATAAAAAGAAGAAGAAGGAAATAAATGAAATTTCCATTGAAAAGGGGGCAAAATACATATCTGTATTCCAGAAGCCTTGGGAATATGTAGGATGTATGATGAAAGAAGTTGCAGGCAATTTTAAAGGAAGAGTCATTTAGGGATTAAAGTGACATGTTTATGTGCTGAAGAACTGTAGTAACACATAATGATTATAATGTCCCGATGAGTCTCACTTAATTACTAAATTGAACATGAAATACCTCTTCTATTTTATAAAATGAAAAAAACATAGAAAAATTACCCCAAAAGTTAGTATTTCAAAATCAGAACTTATTCAAAAGAAATGCTCACTACTAAAGGAATGACTACAAAGAAGCATTAAAAAGAAATCCTTGGAAGCAAATCACAATAACAATATATGGGTTTTGCGCATATAAAGAAAATCTCCAGTAAGAAAAGATTCTTTTCAAATATAATACGCAATGTCTGGTCCTGTTCCTGATAATGGTTAAGTAATGCCAAATGAGCCAACCCTCCCACAGGTAAGTACAAACTCTGGATAAAATACTTTGAAAATTCCTACGTGAAAACACTGGAGAGTGAACAAGAGCAGGCAAATAGTGGAGGGAATTTCAACAATGGGAAGAAAAGAATGATACTAAGCTTCCTTTTAAAAAAAAAAAAAAAAAAAAAAAAGCCTTTTAACCTGAGGGCAGGATCCAGTTGGCAGCATTCTAAAGGTAAAAATGTAGGAAAAGTAAAAATGTAGGACAAAGTTTTTTTCTTATAAATACACACACATGTGCACACACATACACACACACACACACACACACACAAATCTTCTTTATCCAGTATCCAGTTGATGGGCAATTGAGTTGTTTCCAAGTTTTAGCTATCACAAACTGTGCCGCTATGAACATGGGTGCACATATATCACTGTGTCATGATTCTCTTAATTCTTTGGGGAAGATACCCAGCAGAGAAATAGCGGGATCAACTGGGACTTCTAATCCTAGCTTTTTGAGGTATCGCCATGTTGATTGCCACAATAGTTGCACCAGTCTACACTCCTATGAATAGTGAAAAAGTGTTCCTTTTTCCCCACAACCCTGCCAGCATTTGTTATTAGTTGATTTGTTTTTTGTTTTGTTTTGTTCTTTTGTTACCAGGGATCAAACTCAGGACCTTGTGCTTACAAGGTAGGAGGTGGAACCACTGAGCTAAATCCCCAGACCTTGTTGTTGGTTGATTTCATGATAGCAGCCATTCTTTCTGGAGTGAGATGGAATCTCAGTGTTTTCATTTGCGTCTCTCAAATGACCAGTGATGCCTAACATTTTTTCATGTGTTTATTTGCTATTTGTACTTCTTTGTCTGAGAATTGTCTGTTCATTTCAGATGCCCATTTTACCTTTAAATTTGGGAAAATGAGAAACGAGAGACATTTATAGCTAAATGGATGCACAGTGAGGCTATACTCTTAAGTGGAATAAATAGGACACACATGTATAAATAGCAAATAGTTTCTCTGGTGTGAGAAACTGAAAGTGTAAATAAGGATCAAAATGTATAATAGATAATGTGAAATAGAAAGAAAAGGTCCAAAGGGGAAGGGGAAGTGGGAAGGGTAAGGGTAAGGAAAGAAGAGAAAGGAAGGAATATGAGAAGAGGAAAAAATGGAAGCAAAGTCTTTCTAATAAGGGAGGGGTGGAGAGTTTGAAGGGAGGGCAGGGCAATGGGGAAAAAATAAGAGCCAAGACAGATCATGGAAAGGTACAAATTCCCAATAATGAATGTCAGCATATTGTATACCTAAAATGTACCAATAAACTTAATGAATAAAACAAGTAGGAAAGAAAAGAAAGCAGTGGTCTTATTAACCATAAAACTAAGACAGAATGTGGGGCAATGATAAAAGCTGGATAGTGGACGTATCACAGAAAGGAGAGAGCCAGAGTAGAAATCCCCCAAATTCTCAACATGAAATCTGTCCATATCTCCCGGCAGATGCTTTAAACATGCATAGCAAAGATTTCAAGAATTTTAACAAAGACTAAGAGAACAGAGATTTCCATTTAGAATTTAATTCTCGCTAGATTGTCTGCCTCCTAAAATAAAACAGCATTTTTCACAATGTCCAGGCACAATAAAAACGTACTATCTATAAAGAAAAAAGAACATGTAACCTATACTCAAGGAAAAAGGCAATTAATAGAGACAAACCATAAGACCCAGATATTGGAATCAACAGATCAGTGCTCTAGAGATGTATTAAAGTCATATTGAAGGATGTAAAAGAAAATACACTCACAATGAATAAGACAGCAAATTTCAAAAGCAGAATAGAAATTATAGTACAGATTGAATCAAAAATCCTATGGTAAATATTTAAAATTTTATAGTTCAAAATTCAGTGGGTATTCTAACAGCAGGCTGGAAATGATAAAAGAAATATAATGTATATTTTCTCCGTAATCTAAAAAAAGAGATTAAAATTACATGAAAAAATTATCTGAGTCTCAGTAACCTGAGGAGCAACATCAAATGGTCAAATAAATATGCATTTGTAGTTTGAGAAGAAAAGGATAGGGAGAACTGGATAGGGAAAAATGTTTAAAGAACTAATGATGGAAATTTTCTCTAATTCACTCACAGACTTACAGTTACCTATTCAAAGAGCTCACACACTCCAGGTAAGATGAAGACACCGAAAGCTCACCCTTAGTGCTATGATCAAAGTCATAAATTTCAAAGATAAGAGAACCTGTTCAAAACAGGCCCAGAAAAATCACAGGGGTATAAAGATTTGAATGACAGGAGATCTTGCTTTTGAAACAATGCCTACCAGCAGACGTAACTGTGAATCACACTAGCTAGTATATGCAGCAAAACTTTATTCATAAATAAAAACAAAGGCATTTTCAGATAAAACAAACTAAAGTAACTTATTGCCAGCGTACCTGTTCTGCCAACAGTGTCAAAGAAAGTTTCCCAAACTAAAGAGGAGTGGTATATCGTGGTGTTCTGTACAATGCACTGATGTAATATCTATGAGAATTTACCGCAAATGAGATAGGGGAGGTGATAAGTGGAAAAATATGGCTATAAGGTTTCTTCATTTTACATGAAGTACTACATTATTGCATTTAGCTAGACTGTGAAGAAATAAAGGTGTAAAGCAGCTGAGTTAGATAGGGGTATAGAAAAACGCTAACAGAAAACTTCAAATATAATTTTAAAAACACAGTGACAGTAAGTGATGGAATGAATAGTGCTAACAAATCACTGAAACGTAGAAGACATGAGAAATTATTTC